CCACTGAGATGCTAACCACCGAGATGCTAGCCACCTAGCTGCTAACCGCCTAGCTGCTAACCACCGAGATGCTAGCCACCCAGCTGCTAACCACTGAGATGCTAACCACCGAGATGCTAGCCACCTAGCTGCTAACCACCGAGATGCTAATCACCGAGATGCTAACCGCCGAGATGCTAACCACCGAGATGCTAATCACCGAGATGCTAACTACCTAGCCACCTGCAGCCCAACAGCAAAGTTTTCGCTGCTGAACAGCTAAGGTAAGAGACATTTTCCAGCTCCGGTTTGGGTTTGTGCTGTTCTTTGGGTTGTTTCTCGCTGATGCTTTGATCTCAGAGAGCTTTGATGGACATGTCTGGACTCTGTGGACTGTCTGCTTTGGTCTGAGGCCTGTTGGAGCGTTTAGCATAAAGCAGCAAAGCGCTGGAGCCAGAAATGTGGCGAGTGGGTTGACTGGGTGGCGCTATGTCGATGTCCATGTGTGATAATTCATTTAGTTGGTGTGTGAGGTGTGTTTGGGGCGTGTAGACATGGCTGATAGGTTCTGGTAGCCCAGGTTCTGCTGTTTAATGTGATGTGCAGCATCACTATAGTCTGTCATGATGAGTGCTTTGTTTACACCAGTTCTTTGTGGGGCTTCAGGGGCTGAGAAAGAAAGAAGTCTGAGTTCTCTGACTGTTTATTTCACATGTACATCATTTTTCCAAGTTGTCGTGTCGTAGCCACAGATGGATGATTCAAAGACTGTGGGGAAGTTGAAATCCAGAGATTCAGTCTGTTTCTACAGCTTGTTGGTGGTTTAATCAATATTTAAAATAACATTCTTTTCAAACTGGTTGTGGCGTTGAAAGGGTTCATCAGTAATTAAAGTTTTGTGTGTCTTCTTTTCTAAAGGGAAGTCCTACCTGTTGACCGATGTCATAAAAAACACAACCGAAACGCAAAAGCCTTTAAATAGTGATCAGAGGGTGTCTGTGTGACTGAGAATGATCCAGAATGAGGTGTGCGGTTGTTTCAGGTGTCCATATATTATTATTATTCCTGCTACCGAGTTCTTCTGCAGAACTTCCTCTTAAACGTGCTTCCCCTTTCTGCACAATCCCCAGCTGTGTGTGTAACTGACACACTCACAGAATGACAGACAACACACTCCATGCTTGACAATAGCAGGTGAACACTTTGTGATCTGTTGCACTGTGTGTGTTTGTGTGAGTGTAAACAGGAGTGAGGGGACTGCAGGGATCCCATCGTCCTATCCAATGCAGGCATAAATACACTGTCATCACAAGGCTGTGTGTGTGTGTGTGTGTGTGTGTGTGTGTGTGTGTGTGTGTGCTCTCGTAGCAGTTTGACAGCAGAACAATGACACAAACACACACATTTCTCATTCTTTTTCTGCCCTTTCTCCCGGGGGCAAGATCACACAAAGACACGAAACAACCTGACCAGGAATCTCCAGTTCTCCTCCCTCTTTTTTTTTTTCTTCTTCTTTGGCTCTTTTCCTTGTATGCAGATACACACACACACACACACACACACACACACACACACACACACTGCTGACTCTTCCAGACGAGCTACATTCACCTATACACGCCGACAGCCTCACACACGCATGTAGAGGACAGCCGTCTGGGTGTCACCCCGTCACGCGTGGCAGATCATGCCAAGGTTAGCCGCCACCACAACGGATGAATCACTTCACTTACGCGCACACACACACACAAACACACAAGCTAAATGATTCCCTGGACTCTCGTATACTCCGTCTACCCTAACCTACCCTCTCTCTCTTTTTAGCTGGTCCCTCGAGACAACAGTTATTTCAATGAGGCCCTCTGTCATTGTCTTAGTATAGACACTACTGTACACACACACACACACACACACACAGACATGGAAGTTTAAACTTTCCCAGGGCTTTCTGCAGCAGTAGTCAGAAGTGTGGGCATTCATTCCAGCCTTTTTCTTTCTGTACATTAATACAGAAGAAACAACACACAGATTGTAAAGTCAGCAAATGAACAAAACAACGTTTGAGTTTCTTCAGAGGCGCTCCTTTGGTTTGATCAGAGCCGTGCACTCTGCTGGCATCCTGTCAGCCAGCTCCATGAGGCCGTCACCTGAATGCTTGTGCTGAAGGAGCGTCCACATGTGCTGAGCGCTCGCTGGCTGCTTGGCCTTCGTTCTGTGCTGGAGGCCAGATGCAGCTCTCCATGGCTCTGCTAGCGTAGCTAGCTTTATGTGTGTGTGTTTGGGAGGCAACAACCACGTGAGCAGAAAACTGAGCCGATGCAGAAATGCCAAAAAGTGCAGAACATAACAGTGTCATGTTCATAACTTTACATTAGTCAAATTATTCTGTATTAAACACTGTGATACTCTGAACCTGAATGTTTAAACTTGAGAAGTCAGTTTGCAGCCCCAGAGTTATTTCTCTATGGAGAGCGCTCTGGCTGCTGTTGTACATGTCGATCCTAAGAACAGTGAGACGGTCACACACCAGCAGGAACCAACACGTTTCCAGACTGGTGCAGAAAACCAGTTTGGCTCTCTGTCGCTGATTTATAGCAGCTGCAAGGGGGGCACTTTGGTATCAATCACTGGTTTAGGTTGTATTCAAGCCTACATGTATTTATTTATGCATATGTTAGTCTGTGGTTTTAGGTCAGTGCACTGCTGAAAAATCACTGTGGTTTGGACTGAATCAGTGTCACCAGCAGACAGTGAACAGCCTTCAACATGAAGAAGACATGCTGAGCAGGTGGTACTACACGTCTATCAGAATGGCAGATTTACAAACACTTGTACATGATTTAGGTATTTTCAGCACTGTACCGTCAGTCTGGGACGTCGCTGTGAACAAGCTGACAGTTGATCATCTGGATCACTTTATGACAACTACAGGCCCTGAATGCACAGGACAGAGTAACAGGTCAAACCAGTGACGCTCTGTCCTCTACAGCTCTCACAAAGGTTTGATTAAGAAACCGTCACATCATGTGAATGTTTCTTTGTCTTTCTTCCAGCAATTTGGTCACATTTAAAATTTCTGCAATTAGCTGTGTGACTGCAGTCCTATTATTAGAGGGAGGTGTCACAAAAGAAATTATCCTTTTCAACCAAATGTAAA